GGCCCAAGAGAATGGAACATAGTCTGTCAATAAACATTTAGGTGCCTACTATGTGCTAAGTGCTGTGGATTCAAAAAAAGGGAAAATACAATCTCTGGCTTCAAGAGCTCACAATCTAATAGGGGAGACAAGAAGCAAGTGAATATATACAAATATATAGGAAATAATTTTGAAAAGGAAGGCACCAGACAGACAAGTCTCTCTTGTCAATGTCCTTAAAACGTAGGACTCAGAACTTAACAGAATATTCTAGAAGTATTTGTTTGACCAGTGTATAGTGAGACTATTGCTTAACTTGATCCTCCCGTTTCTATTTGGAATGATCTCTCCTTCATTTGAATTTCCTGTTTTACTGCATGTTTGCTTTCTTGACTTCCTGATTATTCATCTTGCCTACTAATCTTGAAGCTCCTGGAAGGCAGGAAATCGTGTATAATTTATCTTTGTATTCTCCACAATTACTACCTGGTGCACATCTGTTTCTTTGGCCATATCCTTCTTTTGTTCCTCACCTGAACTACTTGTGATAATATTTCATTTTTTGGGAGCCTCCTGGGCCTCTGGAATTTCTTCCTTTTTGCAGTGCCTGGTCATGGGATTTTGGTTGTCTTTTCTCTCAACTCACTTTTTGTGCTTTCCTCAAATCTAGCATATATGTCTGACTATCCTGCATTATTTTCCTTCAGTTTTTTAAATTCTCTGATGCCCTGGTCACTTTCTCCCAAAGTAGTCGTGGTGTCAACACCCACCACCATTTGTTTCTTGTAGAACAAAATTTAATCCAAAGGAATGATGCCTATTACTATTTCCTCAAATTTATAAATGAAATAGTCAGAAAGACATGCTTTTAATAGATGCTTTATTATTAGTAGATTGAAACTTTTGCAGATGTCTGGATAGTTGAAGGGCTCCTCATAATGATATATTACCTCTTTGATAATCTCATAATCAATATTCTGAAAACATCATTTATAGCTTCCACTTTATTTGAAGTTCTATGGTACATTTCCACAACTTTATCTCTTCAGTTTTTTCTCTTTTCACCATGCTTCAATGCTCAGGTGATTATAATAATAACAGCTAGTATTGTTTATATAGTGCTTTATGGCATGCAAAGGACTTTGCAGATGTTATTCAATTTTTAAAAATTAATTAATTTATTTTTAGTTTTCAACATTCACTTCCATAAGATTTTGAGTTCCAAATTTTCTCCCTGTCTCTCCCCTCCCCCTGCCCCAGGACAGCATGAAATTTGATATAGGCTCTACATACACATTCATATTGAACCTATTTTCACATTAGTCATGTTGTAAAGAAGAATTAGAACCAATGGGAGAAACCATGAGAAAGAAGAAACAAACAAAACAAACAAAAAAAGAAAAAAAGAGAGAGCAAATAATATGCTTTGATCTGCATTCAGACTCCATAGTTCTTTTTCTGGATGTGGACAGTATTTTCCATCATGAGTCCTTTGGAGTTGTCTTGGATCCTTGCATTGCTAAGAAGAGATGAGTCTATCAAAGTTAGTCATTGTACGATGTGACTCTTACTGTGTACAAGGTTCTCTTGGTTCTGCTCACTTCACTCAGCATCAATTCATACAAATCTTTCCAGGTTTTTCTGAAGTCCACCTGCTCATCAATTCTTATAGCACAATAGTATTCTATTATATTCATATACCACAACTTATTCAGCCATTCCCCACTTGATGGGTATCCCCTCAATTTCCAATTCTTTGCCACCACTAAAAGAGCTGCTATAAATATTTTTGTACATGTGGATCCTTTCCTCATTTTTATAATCTCTTTGGGATACAGACCTAGAAGTGGTATTGCTGGGTCAAAGGCTATGCGCATTTTTATAGCCCTTTGGGCATAGTTCCAAATAGCTCTCCAGAATGGTTGGATCAGTTCACAACTCCTGTTATTCAATTCTTACAAAACATCCTGGGAAAGGGAGTACTATTATTATCGTCATTTCACATATGAGAAAACTGATGCCCAGAAGATTAAGTGACTTGCTCAGGGTCATGCAGCTAGTGAGACTGGATCTGAAATCAGATCTTCCTGACTCTAAGTTATATTCTATGTACTGTGTCACCTATACAGATGTATAATTTCTTGACAGAATGATAATCCTCAATTCCTTCCATATTTCCTTTAAGCTTTTTTCTTTGACTATATTTCAGTCATCTTCCCACCAAGTCTTAGTGATAGCTATGAGATCAAATTGACATCTGTATTTTAGAATTCCAAGTTCACTTTATTACCCATACTCTATATAATGATATAGACATCTGAGGTCATATGTATTTTTTTTTCCTGATCCTATATTCTTCTGAAAATTACTGGGTATCTCCTCTTCTAGTGTTATTTTAAGTTGTACTTGTCATCCTCCAAATTATTATACAGTTTTGCATCTTTTATCTGGGGTAGCTAGGTAGCACAGTGGCTAGAGTGCTGGGCCTGGAGTCAGGAAGACTCATCTTCCTGAGTTCAAATTAGGCCTTGGACACTTACTAGCTGTGGGAATTCTGGGCAAGTCACTTAGCCCCATTTACCTCAGTTTCCTTATCTGTAAAATGAGTTGGAGAAGGAAATGGCAAACCACCCCAGTACCTCTACCAAAATAATAACAAAACAAACCCCAATAGAATTACAAAGAGTCAGACATGACTGAAAACGACTGAACAACATCCTTTATCTGGGCATTTTTAATCCTTCCCTAAAATCTTTTTGACCAAGTTAGTGAAACTGCTGCCAAACATATTCTTCTCGGCGTCACTGGATTTATTACATTCCTTGCCAAGAGTCTATCATTCAAGACAATGTAAGGACTGTTTTATTTTTGCCTTTGTATCTCCAGCACCCATCACAGAGCCTAGTAGACACTTAATAAATACTTATTGTTTTTGTTAAATAATATAATAAACCACAGGCCAGAAAGCCAAACCCTGTTTCATGTTTTTGGATACTAACTCTATAACCAGCTTTTTACTTCCCCTCTCCTTCTTTCTATTCCAAAGTAATGATCTTCAAATAGAAAATGAGATAGCTATCCTTGTTTTAAAATCCTTCATTTTCCTACTTAGGACTTACGAGGTAGATCAAATGAATCTTGGTCAGCTCTCGTCATGTGTCCATTTCACACTTCAGGAAGACAGCACATTGATAGATTGACCAAGTTGAGTGTACTTATATACCCACTCCAGGGAGTCACTAACCATAAGTATGTGTCTCTTCCTCTTGCTGTAAATAGAAGGAAAGCATCACTTTTGTTGGCATCTTTAATTTCCTTTACTGTTCAGTGGCATATAGGTGGCGAAGCCTTTAGAAATCTGGATCACTTTCAATGAACTCAGCCTCACGGTTCCAGCACTGCAGAAAACTCTCCTTGTCCTTTGTGTTGTATTCTTTCCCTCACCAACACTGAGTCTGATTACCCTTGGGCTCCTTAGAATACTTCTTTCTGGTTTCCTTCTTGGATTATTTCTTCTAGTCTTTTTATGGACCCCTTCATTTTCTTTGTTAAGATGAAGCATAGGAAGGTATATCTTCAAACTCTGCCTTTTCCTCTAGTGGGGAAAAGAGCTTGCAATAATAGCATACAATTGGTGTATGTATGGGCAGGAAGAAAATATAGTAGATAGCTCTGCAAGTCACTGGAAACTTTTTCAGTGTCCATCTATACCTCTAAAGAGGTCAAGTTCAACTACATTACTCTGTGACTAGACCTGGGAACTCCTTCAAATTATCCATGTCTTGGTCACTAACCTTTCAACAGCCCATTTGTTCTTATTGGTCCATCGTTTCAGTTGTGTTTGACTCTTCATGACCCCATTTGGGGTTGTCTTGGCAGAGATACTGGAGTGGGTTGCCATTTCCTTCTCCAGTTCATTCTACTGAATGAAACTGAGGCAAATGGGTTAAGTGACTTGCCCAGGGTCACAAAGAGGTCTGAGGCCAGATTTGAACTCAGGAAGATGAGTCTTCCTGACTCCAGGTCAGGCACTCTCTATCCACTGTACCCACCCAGCTGACTCCATGGGGACTTATGGTTATGTTTAATGTGATCTCAGTTCTCACCTTGAGCAGGCTTTTATTAAGATAGGTGAACTATGTTGAGGATTGAACATATGGGTACTAGTACAAATTAGGTGACTCTTCTGGAAGCTGTCCCCAAGTGATGTCTGTGGCAAGTAACTCCCATGGGAAGGCAGTGGAAAGAGCCCGTACCACTATGTAACTCTGGAGACATCAATATGGATTCAGGGGACACAGACACCATTTTTCCACATAAGCTCCTCTAGCATAGCTTCAGAGGTTATCTTGAATTCTAGGTCCTGTTCCCTTAAGAGGTGGAAGTAAATGTAAATACTTCCCTCTTCTCTGTAGAATCCTATCAGTGGTCAGGCCTCAGTATCTTTCTGGTTCTTCAGCATGGACTTTGGAGGTGTGGAGCTCTATTTCCAAGACTGCACAGCCGGGAATGTGATGTGAGGGTTGGCAGAGAGCAGAGTTCCAGTTCATAGGCAGGGCCTATTTACAAGCACAGGACAATCACTCAATACACTCTTAAAGAGGTTAATTTGAACTCAATGGTACAGTTCACTTTCTCTTTCTTTGTGCTTTGTAAAATAAGGACACAATGTCCCTTCCAGCTCTTCAATTCCATTATTTTATTTGGCTGTTCTGTGTTTGATAGGGCAGCTATATGGCTCAGTGGATAGGGTGCTGGGCCTGGAGCTAGGAAGACTTGAGTTCAGATCTGACATCAGACATTTATTAGCGGTGTGACCCTGGGCAAGTCACTTAACCTGTTTGCCTTAATCCATGGAGAAGGAAATGGCAAACCACTCCAGTATCTTTGCCAAGAAAACTTCATGGACAGTACTGGTGTGCTATGGTCCATGGGGGTAAAGAAAAGTCAGATATGACTGAGTAACAACAATGTGTATTTGACACCATCCCCAGAGCGTTGGACAAAATACTAATTATCAATAAGCATTTTCCTCATTTCTTTATTAATATAGAAAAAGGGTTCCAAGGTGAGCGGGCTGGTACAAATATTGCTGAAACATCTGTTTAAAAAATAAAATTAGTAAAGGGGGTAGATGGAAGATACTCTGCATCAGGTGGCTGGTCTCACTGACACTACCTAGCACCCCAGGGTAGAAGCTACATCAATGCCCCATTGAGACACGGAAATTAGCAGGACTAAACTGGCAACAATGACCCCATGATTGAGGGTCACACAATGAGAGCAATCTCGGCACTAGGGACAAGTTGGCATGAGGTTCCCCAACAGGACCAGGGGCTTTGGGTTGGGGCTGATAGCCGGTAGCAAGATTTTGTTAATACTAGGGGATTCCAGCAATGGGAGAGGGGTTGAAGTCACTGCCCTCATCTCCCCACCAGGGATCACTCAATCCATAAGAGGCTTCAATGCCCAAGGCACAGAGGGAGACTCCAAGGCCTCCTAGTGAATAGTCAGGAGGGGTCAGCATAACACTGGGCTTACTCTATGGTTTAATGCCAACCCAAGGCTGAGGTGGAACCAGGAGGGGAATTGCTGCCCATCATAGGTGGGAGTGCAACACTGAGACATAAATGGGCTGATCACTCTGGAGTTAATAACCCAGATATACACATATACATATGGTAGCTGGGCCAGCTTCATTCTCTAAGAGTAAAAAATCTGGAGATGCAGTGACATGTAGAGGAGACACTGGAAGTCTCAGGAGAAGTGGGATCTAGTCCCAGCTTTGCCACTGACTAACCTTATGCCCTTAGATAAGTCACTCATTTGTTTAGGCCTCCATTGCCTCCTGCATAAGATAAAGAGACTAGAGCAGATGGTCTCTAAGGTCTCTCTTAGCTCTAAGACTTTTTGAAAAATCATTCTAAGGAACCCAAAGAAATAAGGATTTCAGGCCTCAGGATAGGTTCAATGTAATGAAAGTGGATCTGTGCTATGTGGGTCTACATAGGAATTGGCCCAGAGAAAAAAGGTGGGAACATACAAGATGTTTCCACAGAGGGTGGGCCTATTCCTAGCAACAGTCATGGGAAATCCCCAATCTTCCCAAGCTGGGAAAGGCTTGATAGTTTTAATTTCTCTGTTCTAGATGAGGAGAGGTGCCCCCCGACCTTTTGGCACATTATGTATATAGAGAGTAGAATACATAAAGAGATCTCTAGGTTTATGCAACACTTAAAACCAACTCATTATTAACACTTTGGCATGAGAGAACGGGATGGGATCTAAGATCCTTTATGGAAATCCCTAAGTTGGGGAGCTCCAGGCCACTACTGCCTCTTATCTCCAGGATGTAGACAGGAGGGGCTGTTCCATCACCATTGTCCTGCCCCACCCCTCTGAAGAATACGTGGCTCTGCCTAGGAGACATATTAGTTGGTGAAGGTAAGGAGAGAAGGAAGTAGAGAGGGAGATGAGGGCTGAGTCTCTGTGCTCTTTTCTCCTTCTTGACGATGGCAGCTCAGTTGACTGACTCACAGATCTCTTCCACCACAGAATTGAAGATGTGTGGTTGGTCTGCATAGACATGGTGTGAGGCACCCTCAATAGCCTACAGGAGGAAGGAGAAATACACAGGAGTGGGATGGGAGAAATCTTCCCAGAGACTAAAAAGTTCTACCACAATTAAATTCTTTCTACTTTCAATCCACCACTCCTCAAATTATATTGCTCACAAGAACTTGGAGGGCTCCCATGGGAGCTACTAGGACCTATGCCACCATATATTTTCACAAGTTCCATTCACCAAGTCCATATTAATCCCACCTTTGGCCTAGCCCTCTAATCATAGTGTGAGCAACCAAGAGCCTACAGTGAGATTCATCCCATTCAAAAATACTAACTTAGGTTAATAGGAAAGGTCAATGAGAGGAAAGAAAAGGTAGAATTTCAGTGGCCAGTCACCATCATCTTCCCTACCACTGTCATCACCTTTGGTAAAAACCATAGTATGAAACAGTGGGGAAGTACTTAAATGTCTTCTGCAGACAGTATAAACATGGTACTAGTTGGGAATTATTCAGGTGCTATTTTGGCCGCATCTATATCTAGCTATACAATAGCCTGGGCCAGGCAGGGGTGGGGAACCTGTGGCCTCAAGGCCCTTTGACTGAATCCAAACTTCACAGAACAAATCCCATTTGTCAAACGGCCACACTTGAGGACCAAGAGGGTCATATGTGGCCTTGAGGCCACAGGTTCCCCATTCCTGGCCTGGGCCTTTGGGTCCATCCCTCTGCTCATCTGTTTCCTGGCCTCTTTGAAGTTTCAGCTAAAATCTCAACTTCTGTAAGAAATCTTTTCTAACCCTCCTTAATGCCAGTGCATTCCCTCTGTTGATTATCTCTAATTTATCCTGTATATATCATTTATACATAGTTGTTGCACTTTGTCTCCTCTGTTAGACTGTGAGCTCCTTGAGAGCAGGGACTATCCTTTGCCTTTCTTAATGTTCTCAGCACTTTGCATGACGCCTGGTACATAGCATGCGTTCTATAAATGCTTGTTTACTGACTAACTAAACTTAACTGTGGTACCGAGGACAGATTTCATAGGCTACCCCGACTTGTTCTACCATCCCTCACCAGCTAAATCATTAGACATTTTTTTCCTTGTCTACGTCACATGTTCTCATCCACCTGGACAGAGTCATATCAATGCTCTGATTTTCAGCCAACAACATTTTTTTCATTTCTACCGTCATTCCCCGTTCTGCCCTAACTTACCACATCTCGGACATAGGAGTCTGGCCTCCTAAGTTTTACTTTCTCTCCAGTACTAGTATCTATCCAGGTGTTGGCTCCATAGATCATAGTGATAGGCACATCTTTCCGAATTAGGTGGATTCGCTCCAGCATGGGGCGCCGGGCCCAGCCGAAGGACTCCATCATAGCCTTGAATGCAGTTTCACCGCTGGCAATAGAAAAATAGGCTTGAAATATATTACAGACCTAGATCTTCATCTGCCAACCAAAAAATTATATATTAATGGTTTCTTTACTCATTAGAGGCCAGGAACTGGAGAGGTCTGCCTGGATCATCTTTGTATCCTTTATGATAGACGGTATAGTTCCTTACCCATAAGGAGCACTCAAATGTGTGGAAATAATTAAATTATTGAGGTTCCTTGTTATAAGAGATTAGTTTGGATACAGTGATGAACATCCTGACAGTAAAATATTGGGAGAGATTACTGAGAGAGGTGAAACCCTAAGATTAAAAAAAAAAAGCCATTTGTGGTGGTTGTTTATCTTTCATTCTCAAAGAAGACCATGACATCAGAAAGGTGATGCCATGACTTGCAAGTGAATTGGGTGTAAGTGAGGGAAGGTTGTGCAAGTCACCAGTCTCACTTTCTCTTCTGGAGTCATCTGGGTCCAGTGGCAAGATAAAGAGCAGGATGACTGGAGATGGCCCAGGATACAGTGGGAGACCTTGGCCTTCTTAAGTTAAGGTCTTTCCCAGGTCTCAGTTTGACTGAGGCAATGCCCATTCAGTGATCAAGGCTAGGCAAGAAATGAGGCAAAGAATGGCCTCTTTTACCTAGTTTAAAAAAAAAAAAATCAACATGGGAGAGGAAGACCCTCAGGGTTTCTGGCCAAAACAGAAACAATTGCTATTTACATTTACTCAGAGCCATCAGGGCCCAAACAATGACCAAGTAAGGTTTAAGATTTGAAAAAAAAAAAAAAAGCTACTTACCTAGCTGGAGAAGTAACTGGTACTAAGTGAGAAGTATCGAATTTATTTTACCACCTGAATATGTCCTCAAAAGGGCTAACTGGTAAACCATCTCATGTAGCTATCTGCAAGGTTGGGAAGGCACCAATTTGGGCTAGTTTAAATAAGTCTTGCTTAGAGTCAGGAGAATGGATTGCATTTCTAAAGAGAAGAATTGAGATTGCATTTCTGGAAGTTAACTTGAGGCTGTATTGCCAAGACACAGGACTTCAGGATGTCAAGAGAGCTTAGTGGTCACCCAGTTGTGAACTCCCCCTCCCCCCAGATTTCTGATATCCTTAGGAACTGGTTATTACATGGTTACTTGCTATCTTTGTCATAGAAGCAAGAGTTCCACGAGCAGCATTCTATCTGATATCTTCAGGAACTGGTGATTACACGTTACATTAGTTATTACTTACTATCTTTGTCTTAATCACATGTTCCCCTGGGAATAGGGAAAGTATTTGTAGCCTCAGTAAGGGACTTGGTATAGCAGAACAATGAAAATTTGGGAGACAGAAGGATTTTAGGGTGCTCAGAGTAGTCTTTCACGAGTGTCCCCCCCATCCACAACAAAACCAGCCTTTCTTGTCTCCATTATGTATAAAGGAGTCTGGGAGGGTAGCTAGGCATGGTCTGGGAAAGTACTGATATGATAGGACTACGGCTTGATGAGTGAGGTCAGAAGCAAAACTTTGGGAAAAACTGAGTATGAAGTCTTATTTTTTTTTTTTTAGCAGTCTGCTGCTCTTCTATTAACTGGGCTATTCCATTCAACTGAGCCCATGTAGTGTGTGTGATGACAGCAGACTAGATGCCTTCCAAGGTCCCTTTTAAACCCTAAGACTCCATGGGTTCATAGATGAGCTGAGAATTTCGAAGTAGCAAAGACTCCAAGTCATTTGGGAGAAGCCATACAAAGAAATGCATTTACTCAGACTCCAGGATTCTCCTGCAATGCTCACCAAGTTTTCCACAAGGTTAGGAAAGGACCTGCTCATCCCAGGTTCAGTAAAAGGCACTGACTGCATGTTCTAAGGATAACTAAGTTAAATATACTACCAAATTTTGGCCTGCTGAGTTATCTGCCTGGATCGGGGAAACGGTCGAATCTTTCTCCTGGATAGGCAGGCAACCTAGTATAGTTACTTTAAAAAATGTGTCCCAGGACAAATAATTTCCCTGTCACTTTGTGACATCCTTTCGTCTCAGCCCATTACTTGGGAAACTTTTAAAGAATGCTGCCACTGGTCTTCATGATATCTCTTCTTGAGGACAGAGGGAAAGGAATAAGGAATTTTTTATAGTTGAGAAAATTAAGATAGGGAGGCAGGTAGCACTTCCCAAGTCACATATGGCAGAACTGTTATACCTTAACACTCTCTGCAGTTTCTACACTGGCCAACCCCATTTACTGTTCCCAAGAGTTGACTCACCTGGGATTCTGTGCATTACAGTGGTAGATATACTCTGATATCGTGTCATCATCAAAGAAATCAGCAAATTTTTGCTTAAAATCAGGACGGAATCGCTGCACCAGGCCAGGCCCTAGGAGGGAGGAGAAGAAGCAAAGTCTGCTCAGTAACAAAAACAGAAATGGATTATAGATACCACAAACACTGGGCTCAGTTTATTATCAGAGGCAGTGTGGTGTGATGGAAATGATAGTGTTCTGGAGTCAAAAGGGCTGAATTCAAATCCAGGTTCTGCTATTACCAGTTGCATGATCCTGGGCAAATCTTTTGACCTTGTGCCTCAGTTTCCTCATCTGTAAAAATAAGGACAATACATACCTCACAAGACAGTGAAGAAAGTAATTTGCAAACTTTAAAATGCCACATGAATGTGGAATTATTAACCAATAAATTACAAACACGCAGGCATTTATTGAACAGATTATGAAGAGGTATGAGGAATTAAAAAAAAACCATAAGTCAATAAAGTGAGGATATGACAGCTCTTGAGCCATTCTGAAGAATGACCTCTATAATATCGCCACTACCACTACTAAATAGCTCACATTCCAATAGAGCAAATCTGACCTCAGATACTTCCTAGCTGTGTGACTCTAGGCAAGTCACTTAACTTCTGTCTGCCTGAGTTTCCTTAACTGTAATATGAAGATACTATTTGCACCTACCTCCCACAGTTGTGAAGATCAAATGAGACAATATTTATAAAGCACTTAGCATGGTGCCTGGCACATATTAAGTATGTAATCCTTCCTCTCTCCCTCCTTTTTTCTTTCATTTTACAGATGAGGAAACTGAGGCACTTAGCACAGTACCTGGCATACAGTAGGCACTTAATAAATGCTTGTTGACTTGACTGGAGGCAGAAAAATGAGGCTGTTTGCCCAAGGATATACAGTGGTACCAAGTGGCAAAGCCAGGACTCAAAGCCAGGTCTTCTGATTTACAAAATGCGTTCCATACATTATCTTATTTGAGGCTCAGGACAATCCTGTGAGGGAGGTACAAATAGTATCCCCATTTTACATATGGGAAAATTGAGCCTAAAGAGATTTTAAGAGACTTGCCCAGAATCATGAAGGTAGTAAGTGTCAGAGGTGGGACTGAAACCCATGTCTTCCCGACCCCAAGCCTTCTCCTCCTCCTGCCCCTCTCCCCTGACCTTCTCCCTCCTCCCATACTGTATCTCCTCAGTGCTGTTCTCTAAGTTGTTCATTTTTGGCATTCAACCATAAACTTACAAGGGAGCTACACAGAAAATGTC